CGTGATTCGATTACGATCTTTTGTTCATTTTATCACCTGCTTCAGAAATGGATCCAGTTTGTTGAGAAGTTCTTTAGCGTTAACTCGTGTGGCACCCATACTTCAAAACTTATTTAAATGTTTCCAAAGGGTTGTTTTTGTACTTTTTGGCTCCGAAACTCAACGACTTCCATTATTTACCGATTTTTTTGACAATCTGCCTTCTACATCTCGTTTTTATGCTCTTGCAACATGTTGCTACAGAGTATAATATTTTTGTTTACCTAACGGTTATTTTTATCACCCAAAACTAATCGGGCTAGATATAGGGTTATGTATATATAAAAGGTTAAGATGAAGAGGCGGTTTGAAATCCAAGTGACTGTCCGTCCACCCGTGCAAGCTGTAACTTGAGTAAAAAGTGAGATGTCTTGAGTTGTAGTTGGACGTAATCGGACCATTGCCATACCCACAAAACGTCATTAATCGAAAACCAATAAATAGTCACAACTAAGCCGCAAACTAAGATAAAAATGTTATATATATATACTGTTGGTATAACGAATTGCATTAGGGAGGGACGTCTTCAGTTTAAAAATTTTAGGAAAAGTGCCCTCTAATAGGTTTAATGTATATATCTCCTAAGCAGCTAAGGCTATAATTACCAAATTCACACAGGGAAATATGAGCACCTCTACCGACGTTTTGAAAATAGGTGAAATCGAATGATAACCCCGAACACTCCCCTGTAACGGTTTTGTTAAAAACTACTTAAAGTGCGATACATTTAAAAATAAGTGCGTCAGCTACATAAAATCTTACTCCCGCAAGGGTACAAGAGGGTCTAATGAGAGCTGCACTTTAGGCGTGGCACCGCCCGCATTTAGGTGAAGGCCATATCTCGGGATCTACTCGACTGATTTTACCCAAATTATTTTGTAGGTAACATTATTCTAAAATTTTTTGTTTCAGTGTCCCTATATACTTACCTAATAGAAAACTTTTCGAACTTCCGGCTGATTTTATACCCTATATATCGGCCAATATGTAAGTTATCTTAATTAAATTGAGTGAGTGTGTTTTTCTTTAATAGTGCATCTGTGTACCTAAAATGGATAAAATCGAATGAGAACCTGTCCTAGCCCCCATATAACTAATATTAGGATTTTCAAACATCCATTCATTGTTGATCGTATATGAGGTACCTTAATAAAACATAGAGAGCAGAGTAATGCCAATAATAGATAAAAATACACCATCTCCCATAATAAAAAAAATGTTAAAACGTTAGGTTTGTCTAGTACCGTATATATCGGTCAATATGAAAGATATCTTTGCAAAATGAACTAAACGCATAATATTGAGTATACTGTAAGAGAGTAATTTTCGCAAACCGGAAGTAAAACAGAGTTTTAAAACTAAGTGAGTCTATTTCCTATAATAAATGTTAATTTAATAAAACATCAAATTCAAAACTCGTTTATCTTAAGATTACAGAAACGGAATTGATGTAGAATATGGAATATGTGTCTTTGTTGGTGTCCATGTTTGTTGCGCCTTCAATCAATGTTGAGTTAAACGATCACAAAACTATCTCGAAAGTTCAATTTAATACAACATTTTATTTTTCTGACGCCATACAGCGTATCCCCGATTGGACGCCAGTAACAGATTACTAAAAACAGCAACTGGAAAAACAATGGATTTATTTTACTACTTGTAGATCCAACATCAGGGAATAGACAAAAGTAAGATTATAAAATAGAATAATAATATTAAAAAAGCTTATTTTCCCTATTTTCTCATATCTCTTTTTCACCCCTTTTTCGTGCCTATTTAGGCTATTGAGCTGCTGGGCTGTCCTGAACCTATCAGTTGAATAAATATAGTTGAAAAGGGGAAACTTTTTATAATAACCTAAAGAACTTTTGTTTAGGAAAGTATGTAAGTAGCAGGTTTTATAACTATTATATAAATAGTAAGCTTAATTAAAGTATATTTAAATACTTAGTTTTGAGATTACATATTCATACCAAATAAAAACGTAAAAGCTTAAATTATATGTTGATAAGCAGAAAAATTTCAAATAATTTACAGCATCGAAACTGTCAAGCAAAGGGCTAGATATCTGTGGTCAATCGGAAATTGCGCTTGCAATAATCCAAAACTTGAATTATTTTCACACAATTCTATTCAGATAACGCATACTAACAAATAAATGTTTTAAATTAAGCGTAGTTAAAGCAATTCGGATTTTCGTTGAAAATCATTCTTCATAAACAATTTCATCCATTTTTAGAATGGAAACTACCATATATAGGATATTTGTTATGTATACATTTTTGATGATGCTTGAGTTATCTAATGTAAAATTAAATAAGCCGCTTACTATCTATTTTTCTTCCAAATAATTTTGAATATAGGGTAGTTTTCGTCCAGGAGCTTTAACAGATTGAGAAAGACAGATTTATTGTAAGATTTATTATGATCAATATCATGATGGTCTCGAGCTATAAGTGATCGGAGCGGCAACTAAGAAATTAAGGACATAAAAACAGCATATGTTCGTCAATATGCAACATATTGCGAGGATAAAAACATAAGTCACATTGCTATATATCCATATTTAAACTAAGAATACTGCATAAATATTTTGCACTGCTTTTAAGGCGACAATTTACAACTGAATCGGAAACATGAACACGATTCAACAAATTGCAAATAATAGCCACAAATCGCATTAATAATGTCAGTAACTCATTAAGTACATTTAGCTAAAATTAAGTGACAAGTGCAGTTAATTAGAAAAAAATATTCTTTGCTAATTAGAAATCAAAATCAGAAGTGGCCAAGCAATAAATATTTCAGCGCATTTTAATTTGCCAGCACCAAACATTTTTGCAGGTGCTCATGCCCACGCAGACTTCAGGCACGAATTTCGGAAAACGCCGAGGTGTCAACACTCAAAGTTAAAATAAGTATGATTAAAAGGCAAGTATATGCTAAGCATATAATTATATGTAAGCTGTTAAAAATAATAAAAGATAAGCATAAGGCAACGCTGCGTTCATAAAACGAATTTGCGAAAATTTTCCCAGACAAATAACTGCCCACACACACACATGAAATGCAGAATTCGTCGTATTAATATTCGTATTTGCTGTTGTTGGGTTTATTGTTGTTGTTGTTTTTGTTGCATTGCGTTACGCTGTTGTAATGATGTTTTGCATAATTTATGGTTGAATTAGCAGTTGGCGGCTGGCAGCTAACAAAGTTGGCAGCTGTGTTAGTCACACTTGCGTCCGAGCGACAGTTGCGACTGCGCAGCGATTGTACATAGAAAAACAACAGAAAAAGCATGTTCGATGTTAATCCCGCGCAAGCGACGGCGTGCCACGGCAATGCTGTTCACCGCTCTTTTGCTAATTGATTTTTTGAAACTAACTATTTATGGTCTGCTTCATAACTGTTTTCTCCATGCAATTGTTGGTGACTTTTATGCGAACTCGTATACAGTACAAAAACAAATCGCAAACATTTGCATTGCTCTGCGTGTAACTGCAGTTGCGATTATTAATGAACTGTCAGTGGCGACAAAATGCTCTGCACCCAGTTGCGGCATGTTCTTGCGCCTGCGTGGCAAACAGCCTGCCGCAGCGAAACAATTCAAATTTTTAGCTCAAAATTGAAAACATGAAAAGGTAGGAAAAACATTTAGGTTTGAACACGACAAAACACGAAAATCGAATCAAGAATGAAATACATTATTTTTTGTGTCGCTGGTGGGCAGGCAACATAAAATACCACTGTTGCTACTTGGTTTTATACTAAGTTTGACTTTGCTACTGAGCTAAGCTGCGCTTGTAATCTTAGTTCGTTCATATTTTTGTTGCGGTAATTGCTTATATTTTTAATTTTATTGCGCAGTATTAAGTTTGTTAAGAGATTTTGTAATAAGAGTTTCAAAATCGGACTCTATGAAAACATACATTAAAAAGCGGTCGACATTTGGCAAGCTTTTCCAAGACTCTGTATGCTCGGTGAAAAGTTTTTTCATAAATTTCCTCTAGTCTTCGAGAACTTACTTAAGTCCGTGTCTGAAAGGGTTTTCACTTCACTTTACTTCTCTTTTTCCCTGCAGATTTCCGAGAAGATTTGAAACTTTCAAATATGTACAATCACAAAAATAGATTCGCATGAAAAGTTGTTTGGATTTAAATCGATTTTTACAATTCTGTTGGACTTGAATTTACAGTTGCGTGTATCAAGTCATCTTATATCTATCTCTGGTATTCTTTTCTCTGAATTAAGATTTTCTTTGTCGAGTGTATCCTCAATATTGTAACAATTCTTCAATTAAAAATTTTAGTTACAAAGTTAAGTTATATTCTATAATACTGTAATATATAAACTTTATTATTTGTTATCTATCTATCAGAATTGAGTAGTAATTTGGAGCTTTGATCAATAAAATTTGTTTCTTTTACTATAATAAAAATTTGACTTCAAAATATTAAGCCTTTCCTTCTTATAGTGATTTTTTTCACTGACCAGGGTTGAAAATAATGCTTTCAAAAATAATTTAATTAAAAAATCCGCATACCGGATTAAAAAATAATAAAACAATTTTAATCCCACATACCGGATTTTTAATCCAAACTACCTGATTGAAAAATAAAAAAGAAAAATTTTAACCTTAAGCATATAATTAAGACTTAAGAAAGGAATTTGCTTTAGAATTAACATTTATTCGTGTTCAAAAATATTTTCAATTTTCAGTTTTTAATCTCAATAATCTTGGATAAAAAAATGAAAATCTAATTTTTTAACTCAACATCAGGATTAAAAAATAAAAATTTTATTTGTATTCCAATTTTTTAAATTAAACTGACACTACTACTTAATAAATTTAATATTCAAATTATATTTTTATTGTTATATCATAGTAAGATATTTACTAAATTGCCTCTTACATTCACTCATTGTACACATATGCATACATTTGTAAAGAAAAAACACAGTTTTTTTTATTATTTTCGAAAAATGTTTGTGCCAGCACTTTGGTGGTTTATTCATACTAATTTGTGGCGCTTGAAACGCGCGCCAACCAGCTTACAGTATTGTTTGCGCAACTACAATTAAGTACTTAATGCCTACATATATGGATTGAACAATAACTTCTTTTACATATAGAGCCTAAGCCATGGCTTACAATGTTATGCAGATGGCGCTGCAAGCGTTGAAGTCGTCAACTGATGGCATTTCAGCATATATACGTACTCATCTATATATGTACATACAGCATATATTTACATATGCTTTTAGAGTTCGCAAGCGCGTACAATACTTTCCGGTTCATACTTTTGTAAAACATATGCAAATATGCTTGTACATTAATTGTCATGAACAATGATTTACATGAGTGTTATTATAAATTGTTGTAACTTACAGCTAGAGAAGAAGTACAGCGCACTCTCTTACAAATTATTTATATATTAAATTTAAATTTATGGTTTTAAGTACAGACATAAGTTTTGTAGACTTAATTACTTTCATGTTTACCGTTATAAACTAAGTAGTGGAACGTATACACAAGTATTTTAGTATTTCAGCTTAGTTGATAGGATTTTGAAGCAGATGGTCAGATAAAAGGTATTCTCACAACTGTTGGTAACCACCTTTGAAGTTATGCTTTATTTGCTAAAAATTGTTTAAAAGCAAAGCAAAGTACTTTTATTTAGCTTAAGTTACGTTTTGTTAAGTACAACATATTATAATGTATTATTAAGGATACTTTAAGGACTTTTTGTGCTCGCTAGTTCACAGATCTTCCATTTGTTTAGTAACTATCGCAAAAGTGCTGATTAAAAACTAGTTTAAGGAAACAAAAGGTGAAGTATGCATTTAAAATGTAAGTATGTTTTATATTATGGCAAAAGTAATACACGTTGCGGGAGAACTGGTTAACCTAAAAACTCGTACAAAAACAAATAACAATTACTCACTGGTTCCGTAGGTACACAGACATACTTACATGTCTAACAATTTGAATTTTACTAAATAAATTTAAAAATTATCGTTTTTTGCAATATTTTTACTTACATACATATTTACATGTATATATATATAAAGTATGCAAATACTCTGGTTCCATAGGTCTAACATAATTACACGATTCTCTATGTATGAACAACATATAACTTATAAGGCTTGCGTTTGTTTAGAATTTATTTGTTTATTTAAAAAAAAAAAATTGATTTTATTTTTTAATAATTAAGGTTCAATTGAGGCATTGGCGGCGGTGTTGGTTTAAGTTGTTTGAACTTGTCAATTAAATTAATTATTTAATTAATTTTATTTTAATTTTTAATTTTATGCATTTTGTTGCAATAGTCGTATTAACTAAAGTCCTTTGGATTTGTTTTGTGTTCGCCCACATTTTTGCTTAACTCTTAGCCAGCTCGCTTATATTCTCACCATAACTTATATGCTAATAGTTGCTTGCTGTGAAGCTATTAATTTATTTATATATTTTTTTATTAATTGCGCGCTTTTGTCTCTTCGCTACCGCTTGCTTTGCAAAGTTCTCCCTTTTACCTTCACTCGGGCTTCTACTTATTTTTGGGCAAATGTCGTTTCATGTGCAATGCCAGATGATCGGAACGCGCAAAACTGCGCTCGCAGACAACGCATTTGAACGGTTTGGCGCCGGTGTGTTTGCGATAGTGACGCGTCAGTTCGTCCGAGCGCGCAAAACGCCATTCACACTCAGGCCATTGGCAGGTATAGGGCTTCTCACCTGGAAGAGATGAAAGAAATAAGTGAACTAGAAATAATAAACGTTTTTAGAGGATAAAAAAATTGTCATTATTCTTCAAAAGGAAAATATAGGAATTCAGTGTAGCCATCGGTAGCAATGTTGTATCAATAACTTGGTGAGTTCATACATTTTTTAAATATATACAATATATATAATTTTCTGTGGTTAAAAATAGTTTACTGACTAATGATAATTTTTATGGACAAAAAATAATAGAAATTAAAAAATGTTGACTACATTTAGACGTTGGTTTTAATTTATCTCTATCTAAACTTATTGAAATCGCACACTGTATTACCCCCTTAACAGTCACCAAAGTATGTAATTGGTACAAATTCCGAATAATTCTGGCAGAGGTCTTGAGTTTTTAAGAAAAAAGTGTTTATTACTTACGTTGTTTGATTAAACAATATCGGAAAATATAATTTATTTTTGATATTTGCCCTTCTAAATCTTATATTAATATGGATGCTTATAACTACTTTTGTGGACTGAAGAGTTTTTTTTAAGTTTATTAAGGCTCGTTGCTGACTCACTGCACTAAATTTTTCAAGTATGTATTTTTCTTCTTCAGCAGTTAAAAACTGTTGCCTACAATTAGATGCTTATTTTATTTAACCCTTCTCTAAACTTAGCAAAGTCGCACACCAAGTTTTATTAATAAAATGTATAGGCACAATGATAATTAAAGTATGGAAATAGTACAAGCTCGGAAAGTGCTGATATTTGTATTCAGATTATAAAGTTAGTTATAAGTACTGTGTGATTAATCGCTATCAGACAAATAAATTTCTTTCAATTACTTTAGTTCAAATTTTCTTCTAAATTATTAAAAAAAATAGAAAGGAGTTTTATATCTTAGAGCATAACTTGCAAATTGATTTTATTCGACAGGTAATAATATAACAAAAAATAATATATACGAAAAATTTAGAATATTTCGAAAAATACAGTCAGCAAAAATTTTAAATCTAGTTATATAAATTTTTACCTCTGAAATAGAGCACTACATAGTTTCATAGAAAATATCAAATATCATTCTATAATAGTAATATTTATTTTTTACATTTTTTGCAAGTTCATTGCAAAGTTTAGGAGATTTGTGCCCAAAAGTCAGCACGCACAGCCCGCGCATTACCGAAATACCATAAATCGCGCGGCGTACTAAATTTTCACTTAACCAAAAAGTTCTAAAGCTACCGCCATTATTTGCAATGCAGCATTACCATAAATTTTTGGTTGCCATAATGGCAAGAAACAAAGTAAAAATAAATTTACCGCACCAAATTGTCATAGCGCAGCTGCCGCCTCCATCAAAAGCGCACAGCGACACTTAGCACGCGTGAGGCTTTTCTCAACTACATACACACATATGTATGTATAAACTACGCGTGCCAAAAACGCCTGCAATGCACGTACACAATAAATATTGACGTCTGTATGTATGCATATGTGTACTTGAATAAATACGGTTCTTGATTGCTACGCGCTTGCCTTGCGTCTTTGCTGATGGCGTGATGCCGACGGCGGTTTGGCAGCAATCACAACGACCGACAGCAATTCTTGCCAGAAATTTATGCTTTGCTGTTATTTACCTGCGTGGAATTGTCATAATTTCACATTTTTCATACAACATATGCAACAACAATAACAACAGCTCGCATTGCATTACATTATGACACATTCGAGCATTTGCACATTCAAGCACTCGACATATTTCTCATTCTTCGCGCCTTTTGATGAAGAACTGCCACAAATTACTGGTTGCATGCGAAATGCGTTTGTGGCATACATATGGCAGCACATTCATGAGCCGACAAGAAACATGGCAGGGCAACAGCTTTTGAGTGTAAAAACAAAAAGAAAATCAAAAGCCGGAATCTAGCAGAGTAAGTAAAAGCCAATTATTAGAATTGCCGCGTCTCTTGTCGAAAATTGCCGTCACTAGGCACACGCTCACTGAAAAAGTCTGCCATGAAATGTTGGAAACCAGCTAAGGAAACTGTGTCTCTTAAGCTTATAAGCTTGGTTTGGCTTGAACCGCCGCATGTCGGCATGTCAGTATGCCACAACACGACTCATCGCTTAATTATTTGAAATTCTTGAAATTGCCGGCAAATCGACATGCTAATCACCAAGCAGCAATTACGCTTAGTTCATATAAAAAATATACAAAAGATTGTGATTCTGGGATGCATTGAAGATTCTATAGATTGACGGAGATAAGTATGTTACTGAGATGAGAGTATGGCACAGTATGGTGACTTCATGCAACAAATGTGCAAAAAATGTATCCTTTGTTATTAAAGCTTAGTGAAGACGTTCCTTTGGTATAATAAAGCTGATTTATAATAAGCAACAAAAAGACACAATCTGTAAATTATTTGAGATTCGGAAATTTAGAAGCCACAGAAAAACAGGATATATATAAAATGTATTGTTTGACCCATTTATGTCAAAAGCTGTCAGTCTTTTAGGTAAAAAAATCAAATTTCATCTAAAGTAGCTTCAAATTTCGACTCTATTTATCACTTTAGTTTGATTTCCTACTAAATTATTTGCTCAGTAGATCTGACTTTTTATAAAACTCTCCCAGGGAGCAGGTCAGGTGCTCATTATCTAAGAAAATATGAAGTATTCTGTGGTAAAATATTCAATGACAGCTTCTAATTCACATCTACAATATAACAAATAGTCCGTTGATTTGATGTAACTTTTACAAAAATTCGTACATTGCCTAAAGGCATGCTATATTTTATGCAAGTATATTTTTTATAACATTAAAACTGTCAGCTAAATTATGGCTTTATTTCTATTATCAAACTTATATGACAGTTTTGTTAGAATTTTCACAATAATTTTCAAAGGAAAGCGAGTATCGTAGGCTTTCGTATAAGCAAAAGACCAACAATCGAAGACCGACAAAGGTTGAAAATAATTATCATGGAACTATCACAATTTGAAACCGGCTAACAGTTAGTGGAGAACTAGATTCCAACTTCAAATCTCAAGGTTCAACAGAAAATGTTTCCAAAAATATCGAGGAGTCTGATCGTAAAGGTTTCGAAATTTCAAAATTTCTCAAATGTATAAGGAGAAGGGGTAGTTAAGCTTTTTCTGTCATAGCATATAATAATAAAACAACAACAATAAAGGTAAGTATCCTCGGAAGATTTACTCGAAATTAACACTTAGTATCACTTGCTCTAGAAAGCTTTTTACAATAAAAGAAATTTTGGTCAAAATATTTTGAAGACGATTTTCTAGGCTACTAATTCGAAGTGTAAATTTGCAAATGTTTAATTTCTTTCTATCAAATTTTTTTTGCCTGCTCAAATTTTGCCTTGAGATTATTGCGTTCAATGCTTTGGAAAAAAATGTTTACAATGAAATTATAATTTTTGAACACAGTCTTTCTGGCTGCGGTTAAAGAAAAAAATATTTTGACGCTAATTCGTGCGATAATTACGTAAATACACGATGTGTTGCCCAACAATGCCGCAAGCGATGCACGCTGTGGCCGAACGCCAAGACCAACAAACGAAGCAAGCTGCGAATCGCCAAATGATAAAGACACAAAAAAGCCGCGGTCAAATTGTTGTTGCCTCCACACATGACACCATGTAATTGAATGTTTTAGCGCTGTGTGATGTCATGTGCAATATTGTCTTACTTTCAACACCCGCTTTTGTTGGATTGTGCAGCTTAAGCCGTTATGCACGCTTATTTTTTCATTTGTTTACGTATTATCGGCTATAGAAGCGCTTTAATTAAACTTGCGAAATCGCCATTTGAATAACTAAAAATAAGCATAAATCTATCATCACCACCATTCACACACACACAAACACAGTGTCGCATTAACAATTGCGACGTAAATGCGCTGGCGTGCTTGCAACCCAGGGCGCAATAAAGGAAAGACATGCACGCCGTCTTACATATGTACAAGTATGTTACAAGCATACACAATTATCATGGGTTCTAATTTATTTGGCGTCAGCATTGGAGCGCTTGAACATTGCATGCAACAAAGCATTCCCAAACTGCCACCAGGCAATTGACAGTTGTGTTGCTGCAACCATATAACATTTGTACAGAAACAACAAATGCTTTCCGCTCCCTGCCGCCGCAGCGCTGACCACACTTCATCGCTATGTGTACTGTTGGCTTGCACACTTAGCTCTGTGTTGTGTTCTAAGCATTCTAACGGTGCTGCAGCGCAATCTTTTCATGCGGCTGTCCGTATGTCTGTCTGTCTGTGGCACACGACATTTCTATGTTGACATTTGTGTTTCATTTCTGTTCGACAGCTCGCGAATCTGAATATATGCTTACACATATGTATGTGTGTGTGTTTCATATAATTTGTGATTGTTTCGCCGCGGCGGGATATGACTAATATGATTAATGTTGGCATTAGAATTAGAAGCTGTCATGCCAATACCGACATTTTACACAACTTTTGATTGATTTGCGTTAACTGTTTTTTGCGGTGTTTACATGTCCGCGTGCAGTTGCAAATTGTAAACTTTTATTTTCCAAAGTAAATGGTAAACTAAAGACTTAAGCGACAAACTCTACGCTGCTAAATGTGGATTAACATTTGTAGCAGAGAAATAACATAAATTTTTTGTTGGTTTTTTCTTTATTTTCTTTTTGTTTTGTTTTTATTATGCTTTTTTACTGCACATTTCCAGTTGGTTGACAAGATGAATAGATTTTAAATCAGATTACAAAAGGCGTGTGAGTGATGGATTTACAACCGATCACCTTTCAGTGCTGACTAGCACAGAGAATGGCACGCGAAGCAAGAAAAATCTAATTTTAAATAAAATAATATATAATAAACTTAAATTAAGAGAAAAAAAATAAAATTTTAAATAAAATTAAAATTAATATTAATCTCAAAATCAAAATTAAAATAAAATTAAAAATAAAATTAATATTAAAATTAAAATTAAAATTAAAATTAATATTAA